ATAAGTAAGTAGAGTGAACTGGTTAACCTGGCAGGAGCGGAACTGGTTGACCAGCAATGTACACCTCTGAGGGTCCTTCCTGCCGTCCAGACCGTCCAGCTCAGTGGCCACTTGGTTCAGCTCTTCATCTGCATAGTAGAACTGGGCCAACAGCTGTGGATCTGACCTCTGTATGGAGAAAAAAAAAAGTAAACAGATGGTCTGAATTAGGGCTGTGCGATATTGAAGAAAAATGCGATATGCGATACGATAATGCTTAAAGTGCCACATGCTCAGATGAAACAGTTTTACTCGGCTGTTGCTGAGTCAGTTCTGTGAACTTCTATAACTATCTTGTGTCATATATACAGTGGGTACGGAAACTCTTTGAATTCAATATGCACTGATTCTTATTTAAGCTATAAAAGTTATTTAGGTAAGAGCAGTGAGTTATTTTCTCTTTGTCTTTTGTTCATGGCCCCAAATATTGCAAGCTGTAGCGATATGTACATTTGCGATATTTCGATATATTGCACAGCCCTAGTCTGAATGATCTAATCAAAAACCAGATGATCAAACAAACTAGTTCTAAAGTAAGCAAGTATCAGAGTACTGTATGATGGATGCCTGGTGCTGTATGCGAAAATATCAGAAGAGCATGTAAGATACTAAATGACTGTAGCTATAGCTGTCAGCACTGGATTGAAGAGCACTGATGAGGATTTAGACCTTTGGACCCCTTCTGTTCCATTGGGCACTCAACAGGGAACATCCTCCATGAATTGCATCATAGACGGGACACTGTATAAGTTACAAGGTGTATTTCAAGAGCTGACATGCACTACTGCTGGGGTGGGGTCACAGCATGACTTTTTTTTTTTTTTAAGAAATTGCTTTTATTAAGAAAGAATGCATTTTTAGACTTTTACATAGTCACAAAAAAATCTATTTCAAATAAATGCTATTCTTTTGAACTTCCCATTCAAACAACCTAGATTTTTTTTTAAAATTGTATCATGGTTTCCAGAAAAATATTAAGCAGCATAACATATTCTGACTTCTGACTTCTTGAGCACCCAATCAGCATATTATAATGATTTCAGATTGATCATGTGACATAGAAGACAGTAATTTTGTTGCTGAAAATTCAGCTTTGCCATGGCAGAAATAAATTATGATAAAATTATAATAATTATACCAGCATGGCGCCGCAAATGGTTTGTAAATAACATATCTGCACACTAATAAACATATCTGTACATTTATCTAAACAATTACTTTTGTTCCTATACTTCTATTTCTGTATATAGTACATTATTCAATTTTTCTTTTTTTTATTATATTAGTGTTATATTACATCCCTACTGTGTTATTCCTATGTATGTCTGCACTATCATGTATGTCTGCACTATGTTTGTACTTTCTTCTACACTGGAAGCTCCTGTCGTCAAGTCAAATTCCTTGTGTGTGTAAACATACTTGGTAATAAAGCTCTTCTGATTCTGATTCTGATAATTGTTCACCATATTACTGTTGTTTTCACTGTGTTTTTGATCAAATAAATGCAGCTTTGGAGATTAGATTGCCAATATTTTTCTATTTTTGAATAGTTCCATTTATATTTACAATACATGTCAGTGCAAAATCTCCAAAATGATACTAGGGTGCTGTGGGTAATTACCAGTGCATTGCCATATGGTTACTAAAGTGTTCTGAGTGTTTTAATGTGTTGCTAGTCAAGAATCCAAGTCTCTGTGATATTTTGATTCTTAAATATAGCCCAGGTGTCTGTTTTTAATGCAAGTCTAGGATTTGTTTTTATATTGTTTTCCACTAGGCAAACCAAAGTTTTGTTCAATCCCCTAACCCTAAACATAAAGAAAAATAAGGGGCAAGTTTGCCTTAGCAAACAACAACACTATCTAATAAATGAAGCCTAACTATAGTCAAGTGTTATCTGCACACTGTGATATAGTATATTTGGAGTGTTTCCAGTTTGGGAAGCCTCTGTTTTCTGGACTGTGGCCGTTTATAATCTGCACATGATTTTGCCTGGAAGTGGCACGTGGCTGGGACATGGACTAGAGCTGAGTATAAGCTGATTTGAACGGGTCAGCCCTATGATTCCCACACAGTAGAAATCAAACCATTGGAGATCAATATCACCACAAAACACATGTGGATGGTTCAGAGAGGATCCTAAATCTACTTGGCTTGATTTAGATGTTCAGTTGTTCGATATATGAGTCAAATATTTGGATTAAGGCTACAACTAGATCCCATGTCTTTAATTTTAGGTCTCCCAATTAGATATCTGTCAAATAAATTCGCTAAACGGTTATTTGATATCCTAGCTTTTGCTGCTAGGAAGAATATACTGTTATCCTGGATCAGTGATAAACCCCCTTCCTTGAAGGGATGGCACAAGATTGTCAGAGAAATGATTCCATTAGAATTCTTAACATGTGTTATTCATTTGTCAACTGAAGATTTTCATCAAGTCTGGACTCCATATCTAGATTGTATTGATGTTTCTTTGAGTAATATTTTAAAGTATGGTATAGTATAATGCCCCTGTATGTCCCCTTTTTTTTATTTTATTTTATTTATTTATTTTTTGTAATTGTAATGGCTGGGCTTTGTTATTTGTTTTTAATTTAGGTTGTAAATTGTTAAAAATGTTGATTTAAAAAGATGCAATAAAAAAAAATAATAATAATAATAATAATCGCATGCGGGGAAAAAAACAAAAAAAACAAAAAAAACACGTGGAACGAAATATTTCTGTTGCACAGGAAACTACTTGGCCTATACAAAAAATAAACAATCAATACGGTTTCGCTTTGGGCGATTATTTGGGTTGTGTACATTAACAAACTTCAAAGTGATGAAAATGATGTCCGCATAAAGGTTTATGGTTACAGTACAGTTGTAAAATTAAGGCAACACTGATAATGAGGAGCAATGTCAAGTAATGCACTAACAGTGACATACTTTTCTAAGCCTCAACCAAACATCTTTAATATTTTATCAAAGACCAATATTTTACTAATTTTGTAAAAATCTGTTCATTTTAGTGAGCGCCTGACACTGCAGTTAATTCCTGATGACGACAACAACAGGCATGTTTGTGAAGAATGTATCCAAGTGAATCACAGTCATCGAGGTAGAACTGCACCCATGGGCCAAGGCTTCTTTGACAACAATGAGTGTACACCTCAAGGGATACCTTGGGTTTAATTCCAACAAAACACTTTTCTGCTCTAACATCCTGTTAGACACATTACCAAAAATGGACTGAAAAGTGACCTTCATTTCTCACAGAAAGTCTTTAACGCATTAAACATCAGTTGACAACAAAACAGTCACAAAACACAATTGCATCAGTTGCCCAAAGTGTGGATTGCAAGAATCTTTCATCACTAACCACAATGTTAGCTATAGTGAAATGTGGTTTTAGATGTGTAAAATACAAATTGCTGACAGCAGGAAAGTTTTGGGCCCCACAAAGGTCAATTAAACCTCATCAAAAACCAAACACAGCTGAGAAGAGCCAATGTACAGAAATATATCTGAGGCAATATAAATATATAAATATATTTATATTAATATAAATATATTAATATATGTTTTCATACTGCATATTTTAACAAAGAAAACAATTAAATAGCTGCCAGCATACCACACAACTGTGAACAAGCCCATTCATTATAAAGGGACAAATTCATCTGAATGAATAGTAAAGGGCTGTGTTTCAAAACGTAGTGAAGATACTACCTAGACAAAAATGTTGGCATATGATGTCCAAAATTGTTGTCAAGGTAGGCAGGTCACATTGTATGACGCTCAAAATGCTGTCTAGGTAGGCAGCTCGCATCATGTGATGCCAAAATAGCTGTTAGAGAGCTTGTATTATACGACGGCCCAAAATGCTGTGTAGGTAACGTTAGGCTGCCCACATCATATGATGTCTCGAATGCTGTCTGTAACTAGACAGCTCGCTAGGTTTTGAAACACATACACTTAATAATAAAGCTATATGATGAGTATTTCTTAAAAGTGAACGAATGGCAAGCTTACCTTTGGCTTATAAAGCCACTTTCGGAACCGATTCATCATTGGTCACCTCGCCAGTTTAGCGACAGCTCCGTACCAAACCCGAACCGGACCTTTAAACCCGCACACACACAAACACACAGCTAGCGAGCTAAGTTAGCACCTGCTTTTTTAACAAAGCCGCGTTGACAGTGTTAAGTAGAGGCCACAAAACAAACACGGGCAGTGTTAATCCACTATTAGTTAATCACGGGCTCGGACTCTGCCCTTATATCCAGCAGGCGAGAGGTTGTCTTTGTCCCCAAACACACGGGCTGCTCATGACTAAGCTAATGAGCTAGCGCTCAGTGTGACTACGGAAGTTGCGCTGCTTGACTGATTACACTGAGGTTGCCAAACACTCCGCGTTTTTTTTTTTGTAAATGATTTAGTAGCCTATATTTGTTTTTATAAATCCTTTTTGTTTACATAAATAAACACATAATGGAAAAAATAATACTTCCATCATGTCATTCACATCATTCGTTTTATTATTTTCTACACGTCTACACATTTATTTAACTTTCTTTTTTTTGTAAAGTGCTTCACGTTACTGAAATGCTATCTAAATTGATTTTTATTATCATTAATATTATATATTTTTTTCACTAAATGTTTAATTTTTGGACAAAAGAGAACAGTAATAGGCTGCTGACGTTTCCTCTCAGGAAAAGTCGGACCGCCTCGCTGTTGCCAGGCAACAACAAAACACTGTAGCTGCTGCCGGGTGGATGTTTTTCATAGGACAGTATCTTATATGAAAACCTGTTCAAGACAAAATTCAAGAACTCTTTTTTTTTAACACACTGATCATTTTTATTAGAATGCTCAGAATCAGAAAAGCTAAGTAAAAAAATATCCGCATTATCGGACCGCTATCTATTGATCCGAAAGTATATTTAATTTGGCTGAGAAATCCAGTGAGGATGAACTACAAAGAACTTGTCAACGAGGTCACAAGGCTCCTGGACGAGTTTCAAGAAGACAAACAATGCATTGACAGTTTTACAGAGGATACTGCCAAGGATCTTAAGGTATTCTTATCTAACACAGGCCTATTCTCTTCCATAATGCACATTCACATTGTCCATAATGGTCGTAATGCATTATTAAGTTATTAATTGCTGTATTTTTTTTTACTTTCTAAAATTTCTTTAAAATTACCTTTCCCTTGAAAAGTAAAGTGAGGGATTACTCTTAATTTTATGTAATTGAATTGCAGTTACTTCTGATGTAATTGCATTAAATACTGTATAGACAATAGAACAATAGTGGATTTAACATCAATTAATGTTATGTTTTTAATGTACCATTCTCCCTTTAAGAACTTTGGTCAGTTTAAGATTAATTTATGCAATTTTATTTTTATTATTTATTTGCGAGCAGTTTCATGCCTATCCTTGTATTGTTGAACTGGTTGGGGTTTATATGGGGATTAGAAAGTGATTAACTAAGTATTGCAATAGAGAGCGTAGAACAGTAATAGTTAGTACACTCTAAAAAATGCTGGGTTAAATACAACCCAGTGCTGCGGGTAAAATAGGGACAAACCCAGCTATTGGGTTGTTTTGACCCAGTGGTTGGGTTACTACCCAGAATGTTGGGTTAAACATTTAACCCAACCGCTGGGTCAAAACAACCCAATAGCTGGGTTTGTCCCTATTTTACCCAGCACTGGGTTGTATTTAACCCAGCATTTTTTTAGAGTGTAATTAGTACATGAAGATGTAATTAGTAGCTAGTAATGAATTACTTTTTTAGAGTAACTTACACAACACTGTTCTTCACTAGAGACAAATATTAATCATAATCTCATGTCTTCTGTCTTTTAGAATTTCTCCTCTTCTGACCAGAAGTTTATTATTGATACGTTGTATGGATGTATCACGCACAAAAAGCTTTTGGATGTTGTGGTCAACATCTTTTACAATCACCATGGAAAAAAATTATTCAGAGTGGATCGAAACCTGTTCATTGGTAAATATATTTTTGTTAATGTATTACAAATCATATTTTCCCCCCTCAAATATACTATATATACTATAACCCAACTATGGTTTCTTTTTGCTATGAAGTTAAATTAGATTTAGGCATTAAGTAAGGTAACAGATCTAATTTTGTCTTGTGTTTGGTTTTCTCAGTTGTCTGTTATCTCGCCATGTTCTGTCTTGATGATCTTGGCCTGGAGCATTTCAGTAGAATTATCAAGTCTCTAGACATCTCAAAAATGCACAAAGTAAGCAAAACACATGTACTATACACAAATCCTTTATGTGCACTATTTTATGGACATTTTTTATGTTTATGACATTTTAGGAGTTGGACAGGTTTATTATTATGGACCGTCAAATAATATTAATCTAGAAAAACAGAATGAAAATGTAATTTACAGTGAACTTGAATAGTAACTGAGTATAAAGTACTGATATTTCAGCATTGTACTGTACATTTACTCATTCTTTGTTTTCTGTCTCAGTTCCTGAGCTTTTTCTTTAATATCAGCAACCTCACAACACATATCCAGAGGGAATGGAGTCACATCTATGATGCTGTTGTTGTAGATAATAACTGGATCACCCCTTTGCTGAGGTAAAATAATAATAATAAACAAGAAAGAGTGTTTATTAGTGCTGTATATCACATTATTTGACAGTGTGATGCATATGTACAATGATACCTTTAGCTGATGTGACCTTAAAAGCTGGTGTTGCTTTAAATCACACTATGAAAAAAATAAATACATATCCCAAATTAGTGTCCCAAAGAGTGTCTGTATGTCATCAGTTGAATTAGGTATATTAATTAGGTGGATGTTTTTAGGAATCATTCAGTTATTAATGAGAGTATGAATTCTAGTTGGAGGCTTGAAAGGGTGTGGCTCATTGTTTCCTGATGCCAGAACATGTAACGAATAGATCTTGCTCTAAACAAGCTTTTGCACTTTTATTTCTGTTATTTATTAATAGTTGTTAGCAAGCATTCTGCTGATGTCCTTATTCTTATTATCAGATGGTGCAATGAGATTGAGGTGCTGTTGGATCAGCTTGCCAAAAAAATGAGCAGAGGAAACCTGCCCAAACAATCTCCCAGGAAAAACACTAAGCCCAGGGAATTTGATCTGACCCAGCCCAAAACTCGACTACTCCCTGCTCCTGAAGTTATTCCACAGAAGGACAAGCTCAAGCCGGCAAGTATTAAAATAAATACTTGAAATAATGAAATATGTGTTTTATGAGTCAGTCTTTTTTTTTTTTTTTTAATCTATTGAAAAAACACCTAACTCATTTCATCCAATCAACATTTTATTATTGCATTATTGGTTGTTTGGGAAAAGGTCAAAAGATTCAGATATTAGACCAGTACATTATAACAGTGGTTCTTAACCAGGAGGCTGGCGACTCAGGACATTTCCAGGGGGGGGAACAGGATCAAATATATTAAAATAATTTAAATCTAATAAAATGCTAAAAATGCATAAACTGCTAAATCAATAACCAACAACTAAAAGTCAATAACTATTGATTTTATCGAAGAAACATATGCTTTATGAAACTTCTAGAATCACAAAATAATAATGGTTAATAAATGTAATATATTAATACTCTCAGTTTCTATTAATTAAACAATTAAAAACAAGCAGCTTTGTCAAGAAATATGAGGAGTGGCTTTCAAATATTGCGTTGGACAATGGGGGCCTTTGAGTCAAAAAGGCTGAGAACCACTGCATTATGAAATTGTTCACTTAGATGGTAAAATTATGTTGATTGTGGCATTTGCTTGCCTCCTTCCTCAGGTACCAACCACCACTCACAGATCTCCAAAGGAACCAGAGATTCTGGATGATATGAAGCAGAGGAACAGACAGAAAGCTTTTGTAAGCCCAATCAGAGAGATGCTGGGAAGCAAACTGCTTTTAGTTTTGTCGCAGTTATTACATTAATTTCCATTCAGACCTTACCTCATGATGTTTTTTACTTTCACCATTAGCAAATCCTGAATGAAGCAAACTCTCTGCAGTTCAGATGTGCAAATCCGCAGAAGTCTGAGAAAACACAAGTTAGTGTCTTATAGCACAGCTGAATTGAGCTAATGTTTTTTCTTCAATGCCTTAGCATCACAGAATTCAAAAGCTATAAATGTTTATATTTCCTGATAAACAGAATGTGCTATCCCAAATTCTTCAAAGCCATGATGCTGAACTCCAATTTGACAAGGGACAAACCCAGCAATTGGGTTGTTTTGACCCAGTGGTTGGGTTACTACCCAGAATGTTGGGTTAAACATTTAACCCAACCGCTGGGTCAAAACAACCCAATAGCTGGGTTTGTCCCTATTTTACCCAGCACTGGGTTGTATTTAACCCAGCATTTTTTTAGAGTGTAATTAGTACATGAAGATGTAATTAGTAGCTAGTAATGAATTACTTTTTTAGAGTAACTTACACAACACTGTTCTTCACTAGAGACAAATATTAATCATAATCTCATGTCTTCTGTCTTTTAGAATTTCTCCTCTTCTGACCAGAAGTTTATTATTGATACGTTGTATGGATGTATCACGCACAAAAAGCTTTTGGATGTTGTGGTCAACATCTTTTACAATCACCATGGAAAAAAATTATTCAGAGTGGATCGAAACCTGTTCATTGGTAAATATATTTTTGTTAATGTATTACAAATCATATTTTCCCCCCTCAAATATACTATATATACTATAACCCAACTATGGTTTCTTTTTGCTATGAAGTTAAATTAGATTTAGGCATTAAGTAAGGTAACAGATCTAATTTTGTCTTGTGTTTGGTTTTCTCAGTTGTCTGTTATCTCGCCATGTTCTGTCTTGATGATCTTGGCCTGGAGCATTTCAGTAGAATTATCAAGTCTCTAGACATCTCAAAAATGCACAAAGTAAGCAAAACACATGTACTATACACAAATCCTTTATGTGCACTATTTTATGGACATTTTTTATGTTTATGACATTTTAGGAGTTGGACAGGTTTATTATTATGGACCGTCAAATAATATTAATCTAGAAAAACAGAATGAAAATGTAATTTACAGTGAACTTGAATAGTAACTGAGTATAAAGTACTGATATTTCAGCATTGTACTGTACATTTACTCATTCTTTGTTTTCTGTCTCAGTTCCTGAGCTTTTTCTTTAATATCAGCAACCTCACAACACATATCCAGAGGGAATGGAGTCACATCTATGATGCTGTTGTTGTAGATAATAACTGGATCACCCCTTTGCTGAGGTAAAATAATAATAATAAACAAGAAAGAGTGTTTATTAGTGCTGTATATCACATTATTTGACAGTGTGATGCATATGTACAATGATACCTTTAGCTGATGTGACCTTAAAAGCTGGTGTTGCTTTAAATCACACTATGAAAAAAATAAATACATATCCCAAATTAGTGTCCCAAAGAGTGTCTGTATGTCATCAGTTGAATTAGGTATATTAATTAGGTGGATGTTTTTAGGAATCATTCAGTTATTAATGAGAGTATGAATTCTAGTTGGAGGCTTGAAAGGGTGTGGCTCATTGTTTCCTGATGCCAGAACATGTAACGAATAGATCTTGCTCTAAACAAGCTTTTGCACTTTTATTTCTGTTATTTATTAATAGTTGTTAGCAAGCATTCTGCTGATGTCCTTATTCTTATTATCAGATGGTGCAATGAGATTGAGGTGCTGTTGGATCAGCTTGCCAAAAAAATGGGCAGAGGAAATCTGCCAAAAAAATCTCCCAGGAAAAACACTAAACCCAGGGAATTTGATCTGACCCAGCCCAAAGCTCGACCACTCCCTGCTCCTGAAGTCATTCCACAGCAGGACAAGCCCAAGCCCAAGCCGGCAAGTATATAAATACTTGAAATAATGGAGTATTTAATTTATGAGTCAGCCTTTTTTTTTTTTTTATCTATTGAAA